GTGGCAGGGTCAGAGTCCCTGCAAGGAGGTCTTGAGAAGCCATTATGTGATGTTGTCAAAGCAAAGTCTAAGATGCAATGCAGATCCTCAGGATTATTTGACATGCCTAGCTCACTGGCTGTCTCCGATGGAAAGCTGCAGGAATGGAGGGGATCTGGCTTTAGAGAGAGGCTATGTGTTATGCGGTAGAATATTATTTTCAGGGGTGTGACTTTTGTTTATGCTGCATTTGTTTAAGTCTGTGAAGCCGTGAGACTGTGCCTGTCTAAAATACCTGGCGGTCCAAATAAAGAGCTGGATGGCCAATAGTGAGGCAGGAGCAAGGCTAGGCAGGCAGAGTATGAGCAGAAGGGGAGACGAGGAAGAGGAGAGTAGAAGAGAAGGGGGGGGGGACATCAGGGGCCAGCCACTCAGCCATGGAGTGAAAAGGAAAGGAAGATATAAAGAAGATAGAAGCCCAGAGACAAAAGGCAGACAGGATAACATAAGTAAATCCAGCCAGAAATAAGCCTAGCTAAGGCCAGGCATTCATAACTAACAATAAGCCTCTCCTCTCTCTCTCTCTCTCTCTCTCTCTCTCTCTCTCTCTCTCTCTCTCTGTGTGTGTGCGTGTGTGATTTTTGGGGAGATGGGTGGTTGGCCACCCAGAAGAGAAAAAACATCATACAACAGTGTTATGCATGTGTCAGAGCTAGAAGGGCAGGACAAGCTAAGCATTTCAGATTCCAGCAAATTCCATCTCGAGTCTCAGATGCCAGACATGGAGTGTTAGGATTGGGCATTTGCCCTGTTGGATTTTGGCATTTTGGTCCAATAATTCATTGCCATGCCTGAATTCTTCCATTTTTTTGGAAAGATGATGTTCATTCTGTATCGTTGTAGGTTAGGAATCATGCAACTTCTGTTTCATTTTATAGGAGTTCACAGCTAAAGAACGTTTCAAATCTAGATGAGAAATAGACGCTTTAAACTGTCAGAGTTGTTCGACTATGGGGGGCTTTTGAAGTTGGATTGAATATTGATTTACGAGATGAACATGAGACTTTGGTGACAAAGAGTTATGATTTAAAATGATGTATTTGAGCGCCAAGAGGGCAAGAGGTGGAGTTGTGATGACTACTCTCAATTTTCACCTTACGAAATCTAGAATACCCAAGAGATGCGCCTTTGTGAACGCCTCTAGGGTATTACCTTGAGTATGTTGACGAAGGTGGGAAGGCCCGCCTATTATAAGTGCATTATTTCTTAGGCTGGGACAGCTGTGCTGTATAAAAAGCGAGGGGTGAGCACAGTGTAAGGGTTCATTGTTCTCTGCTTCTTGACTGTGGATTGAATGCGACCACCTCCTGCTGCTGCTGCTGTCACACACTAATGGACTAAAAGGAAATAAACCCGTTCCACGAATTTTCTTCCATTGGGTTATCCTATGACAGCAACAGAAAAGTATACAAGCCAAATGGCTAACTTTGATAGCTGACTTGAATGCATTTAGCATTGTTTAGAGACCAGTCAAACACACTTCTGGGTATGTGTTTGAGGGCATTTTTCAGATTAGGGAGAAATACCCACCCATCATGTGGGAAGCACCATCTGTCCAGGCTGGGGGAATCACAAAATAAAAGGGGGAGAAAGGAGAAAGCCAGCTCAGTAATGCACCCCCTTCCTCTGCTTCCTGGCCACTATGATGTGAACTTATCTTCATACCACGCCCCCAACTGTATGCCTTGATACCTCTGAAACCACGAGCTTAAATAAATCCTGTCGTGGAGTGTTAGTTTAAGACATGTTACATTCATTTATGCTGTGGGATATTTGTTTAATGATGCAGAGGTGTGTTTCATTATTTTATGTTGCATTTGTTTAACTCTGTTAAGCTGTGCTACTTTGCCCCTCTAAAACACCCAGTTGGTCTAATAAAGAGCCGAAGAGCCAATAGCTAGGCAGGAGAGAGATAGTCAGGGCTGCCAGGCAGAGAATAAATAGAAGGAGAAATCTAGGCTTGAGAGAGGAGGAGCAAAAGAAGCGGGAGAGGAGGGCACCAGGGGCCAGCCGCACAGCCGCACAGCCAGCCACAGAGTAAGAAGGAAAGAAAGATATATAGAATAAAGAAAAGTAAAAGGCCCAGAGGCAAAATGAAGTTAAAGAGAAATGGGATGATTTAAGTTAGAAAAGCTGGCTAGAAATAAGTCAAGATAAGCTTGGGCATTCCTGAGGAAGAATCAATCTCTGTGTATTTATTTGCAAGCTGGGTGGTGGGCCCCCAAAGAGAAAACAAAAAACAAAAAAAAACTTGCTTTCCTCATTTGTTTCTGTTGGGCATTGATCATCACAGTGATTTAAAAAAAAAAATAACACAGCAACAAATTAAAAAATGAGAATGATTTGAGTAGACATTTCTCCAGAGATAATACATGAGCAGCCAATAAGCAATCGGAAAATTTTTCCAGTATTCTAAATCATTAAACAAATACACATCAAAATAACAATGGTATATCACTTTGTACACCAGGACTGCCTCTCTCTCTCTCTCTCTCTCTCTCTCTCTCTCTCTCTCACACACACACACACACACACACACACACACCAACCACTTGGTGAAGACATGGAAAAATGTAAAATTGTACACCTGGTCTAAAAAACGTCATGCGACTTTTCAGAAGCTTAAAAAGAGAACTACTATAAGACCGAGCAATTCTGCTCCTGGGCATTTGGTCCAGGAGTTGAAAATCAGGTCCCAAGGAGCTTAAAGAAGAAGAGTCTTGGACATGTTTGCAGCAGTTAAGCTATGGGTAGAACACACTGCATACTGATGGATGAGTAATAAGCAGTCTTACACACTGATACACACATGCACAATGGAATGTCAAGTCTTAAAAATGAGGGTAATTCTGACATATGCTGCAACATGGCTGGACCCTGAGGACATTCTACTAAGTGAAATAATAGAGTCAGTAAAATATAGAAATGTCCTGCAGCTGTGGGAATAACTGGAATGCACAAGATCATAGAGACAGTAGCCGCAAGGGATCAAGAGAAGACACGATGTTATGTTTAATGTGATGCTAATGTTTAATGGGTGCACACTTTCAGTTTCACAGACTGAAAGATCTGTACATCCAGCTACTGGGGAGGTTGAGGCGGGACGATCCCAAATTTCAGGGTTACAGGGGTTCAAGAATGAGTTCAAGCCTAGCCTGGACTACGTAGTGTCTCTGAAAAAGTCAAAAGAATAAGGCTGCCAGGATGGTTTGGTGAGCATAGGTACTTGCTGTTAAGCCCGATAGCCTGCATTTTATCCTTGGATTGCACATTGGAAAAAAGGGGAGTGTCATGGCTTGTGCAGGTGCACACACTCTAAATAAATGTAAATTAAAAAGACTAAAAGAGGGACTGAGGTATAGCTCGGGGACAGAACACTCATGCAGAGTATGGAAAGACCTAGGGTCCATTCTCAGTACTAGGCCAGGAGTAGAGATGGATGGTGCGGTTATTCTCATGCAACATGATGAATACATTTAATACCACTGAGCTGCACGTTAAAATGGTTAAGATGGTAAATGTATGTAAAAATTGGGAAAAATGAGAAAAAGATGTAATTTTTTTAAAAAAAAAAATACAAACACTACCGTTGCCAAAACAAAGCCAAAAAGCAAAACCCTAACAACTTGGATTCATAAGGCTGTACAGACAGCTTTAAAAATGCCATCTCAGGATTTTGTTTGTGATGTGCATGTGGCATATAAACTATGGCATTTTGTGTAGGATGTGTGTGCACACATATGTGTGTGTGCTCACATGTGGAGGTCAGGGCGGATGTCAGTGTCTTGTTCTATCCCTTTCTATGCCCCAGGGACAGAGCCTCTCATTGAATCTTGAGCTGACCAGCACCCAGAAAGCCCTACCGATCTTCTAATAACTTTTCCCCCCAGCTATAAGGATTAAGGCGTGTGCCTGGCCGCACCCAGGTTTTTACTGAGGACTTGAACTAGAATTCTTAAGCTTGCATATCAAGCATTCTTAGCCACTGAGCCATTTCTCTGGACCCTCAGTTAGGGTTTTAAACCTGAGATAAGCCACTCAAAATAAACAGCAAATCTTGGCGCTGTCACTCAAGCAGAGGCTGGCTAATACCTTTGAAACATGACCACTGTCCAGAAGTGACACTGGCTGCGAAATAACACACACACTGTCTGAACAGCACGTGTTGACAAGTGATAGGCAAGCAGAAGTCGTGGGTCCTGGGAATGGAAGGGAACAGGAGCATCAGGGCCAGGGATATGGGGGGAGAGGGGAAGGTGATGTGGAGAGACAGCAAGCAAAACAAAGTAGGCATGCAAATGCCGTAGGGTAATTTGTCCCTTTGTAGGTTGGCTTTATACAACTGCGTTGGACATAGAGACGATCGTGTTTGTTGTGCAGCTTGCTGGGGGTGGAGGGCACAGTAGATATCTAACCCAGCCTGCCGGTTACCAGCTGTGTGCCTTAGCAAGGTCATGCATCCTCTTTGAGCCCCAGCTTCCTTTTCTGTAGGTGGCAGAGGGTCACTGGGAGGCATAAGGCCAGTACTGTGATGATGGCCATGCTTGCTGGCACTCTGAAGAAACTGGTCGGTTAGATGTAACCCTGACATGTGAGCCTCCATCTCAGCAGATTAGCCGTGGGTCCCTGCTGCTGTAATCAAACAGCACTTCCCACTTGGTCAGAGTGGTGCAATCCTGGTAAGAAACAGTCGCTCTTGAGAGAGAGAGAGAGAGAGAGAGAGAGAGAGAGAGAGAGAGAGAGAGAGAGAGAGTCCTTCCTGTCAAATAAGCTTCAACCTCAAACAAGCCCACATTCTTTTTTGTCTCTCTCTCTCTCTCTCTCTCCTCTCTTTCCTCTCTCCTCTCTCTCTCTCTCTCTCTCTCTCTCTCTCTCTCTCTCTCCCCCAAGCAGTACTGGATTGCCGTTTTAGCATTTACTGACCACCAGCAGATCACCAGGGCAGGGTGGAGGCTCTACCCTCATGACTGGACATGCCCTGACTTACTTGGACTGGTCGTGACTTCGTTCTTGGCTTCCACAGCCCTGCTCTGCAGCAGGCTTCCCACAGCACTGGTAACAGTTGGTTGTTTTTTGGGACTTGCCTGGGCTTTACCCTACAGATAGAAAGAGGCACAGCACCATAACCTTGGGTACCTCGTGGGAAGTAAACTTGTATTCATTCAGAGAGCAGAAGGTTAGGGTTATCATGGGGACTCTTGCACCCAGAAGAAGGAGACATGGCACCCAGAAGTTCAGTTAGCCGGGGCTGCAGTCTCTTGGTGAACGTGCTCAAAGCCATAGTTTGGTTTGGGAACATTCATTCGTAAGGAATCCCCCGGGATTAGCGGTGGTCTGTTTATCCTATGAAATCAGTTCTGTGAGGACAAGAGAAATCATTCAATGTCAGCCAGGATACAGTTGAGGAATATTTTACTTTTCTTTACGTTTGAAGATGGCTTTGTCTTCTAACCGGAACAGAGAAGGAAAACAGGGATTGACAGGCGGCATATGTTTTAAACCGAGAATTCCAACCCTCCCCCCACCCCAGGCCTCTGCTAGTCCTACAGAGCAGCTGCACACTGCACAGATGGAAACCAAACAAGGACCAAACATCCCAGAGAGCCTCTCTTAGCTTGCTGTGGAAATCCCTCTCCAGGCCCATGGAAAATGCAGCACAAAGATAACCTGTTATTTAAGTAAATGCCTCACCGATACAAGGATTATGGTGATAACACAGCAGGCAGATCATCCATCCTTGGCCAGCTAAAATAATATTGTTGTTGTTAGTGTGTTGTGTGTTGGGGGTGTATGTGTACACTCTCAAGTTGTGTTAGTGTCTACACGAGCACCAGGAGATCAGATGGGGTGTTGGATATCTTTTTCTATTGTTATCTGCCTTGTTGAGACAGGTTCTTTCACTGACCTGGAAGCTCACTGTTTGGGCTATCTGGCAGTAAGCTCCCAGGATCTGTCTGACTCTGCCCCCAGCCCTGGCATTATAGGTGTGTGTGGCCATGCCGGGCTTCTGTGCTGGGGATTTGAACTCAGTTCCTCTTGCTTCCACTGAGCCATCTTTCTATCCCTCAAAGGTTTATTTTTAGAGGCCAATATTAGCCACCTCTGATTGAGGGTAGGGCCGATTTTTTAAGCTGATCATGTCTGAAATGGAAGCACATTTTGGCTGTGCCATTAACAGGCCTGCAAGCTCTCTTTCGTGTCCCATTTCTGAACAAGCTCACTATTAGGCAAGATCCCAGAGTGGTGGCATTGGCACTCAGGGAGCGAACACTGCCATCCAGACAGTCTCAGCAGTGAGCAAAAGAATTCAGGGAGCAAGCAATTTCCCCTCTGTGCTCCCAGTCACTACTAAGCTCTGGAAAACAAGGAGAGGAATGGGGCCAAGTCACTGGTTATGCTCGGGAGAGCCAGCTGGCCTTCTTCACAAATAAAAAACCTCTTCTGTTTGCTTGTTCCCTCCACCCTCTTTGGCCCCACTAACACTGGCAAGCTCCGTGGATTGGATACGCCATCCGCAGTAATGTCGGTTGCTGTGCTGCTGTGCAGGGTGGAGGAAGAGTTGAACTTCCAGACTTCACACTTAGGTTGAAATCACGCCTAAGGCTGCCATGGTCCTTCAGAATTGTGATTCCAACCCCAGCAAGGGGAGAGGGCTTCAGGAAACCAGGAGGACCAGGTAAGTGGAGGCAAGATAGTCAAAGGACTCTGGGCCAGCGTCATACTCCCAACAACTCAACCAGCTATGCACGGTTAAGGTCATTTACAGGCAAAAGTAAATCTCAAAGTCCTACCTACAAATAACCAACCACACAAGAGGAAGTCAAACGCTTGCCACTGGCCACAGAGTCCTGACTCTCTTGGCATTTCATTCTTCCCCCACTCTCTCAGTGGGAAAGACTAAGCCTCTAACCCTCTATTCCAACATGCGTGTATCATGTGTCCTCTCTCCTGCATTCTCTCTGGGCCACATCCAACGCATATGAGCAGAAATGCTCCACCAGTCAGAAACGTTTGCCTGCCAGCATGATGTCACAAGAGAAAATGTACACACACGACCTCATGTGGCGTGTTGCGATTGAAACACAGGTGCACGGGAGCTGTGAGCCTTAAGTATACAGGCACACAATTTTGTAAAAAGTAAATGGTCAAAACTGGAAACATGTCCAAGTATTTCGGAAATATCATCTTAGATAAGGGATTTTCAACTTGTACTGTTATCTAGACACCCAGACTCTAATGCCCAGTTTTATTTTAGTGCCAATCATCTCTTCAGCTCCATTAATTATTCCTTATGCTAGTCCCCCATTAGTCTCCTCATTCCAGGGGCCTTATTATTCCCACACTGTATTTCCTTCCTGCTTTCCCTCACTTTTCCTAGTACAGTGACTACAAAAGTGACGTTTCTAAAAGTTCCTTGCATGTCAGTCTGATTTCCCCCCACTGAATTCCCATCTACATTGTGATGAAACATGAAGCCACTAATAGGTAATGGGACAGAAAAGTCAAAACTGCCAGGCTTGGTGGCACACATCCTTAGTCCCCGTACTCGGGAAGCAGAGGCAGGCAGACCTCTGAGTTCAAGGAAGGCCTGGTTTACAGAGTGAGTTTCAGGACAGCCAGGGCTACACAGTGAAACCCTGCTTAAAAAAAAAAAAAAAAAAAAAACTCAGAAGCCGTGGGAAAAGGGTGCACGGAAGGCAGGAAAGATGGCTCCCTAGAATTTCCCTGTCCCCGCTCCCAGGCTCTCGGGTTTGGCTGTTCCCAGACGTTAGAGCATATAGCTCATCTGTTCCTTTCATCCTCCAATCTGAACTGCCTTGAACCCTAACCCTTTACAATCTGTTGCTTCTGTTGTTCAATCTTGTCAATCCCCATCAGAGACTCTGGGTTTTTGGTTAGTGCCTCGGGCCATAAACTAGACGTGTTGTATATCTCATCCACTCCACTCCCGCTGCGCTGTACAGATCAGAACCCATGCCGAGACGCATCTTCTTGGAAACATCTCCCACCCAGACCAGTTTCACTGACTCATCGTTCTTTTCTGGGTGGGTTAGGCTGATAAACACCATTGAATAAGCAGGGTATTAGCATAACGCCATAGACACATTCTTTACCTACTGACGCCTTCATTCTGGAAGGCTTCAAACATTTTAGAATTTTCTTTCTTTTTTTTCTGCAACAAGCCAGAAGTAGCCAACTACCATGGAGACAAGCGATAGCTATTAGCCTTCTGACCCCTGTGCTTCTGAGCGCAGACAGTTGAGCGTCCTGGCAGATCCTACCCATTTGCCCTAGGCATGCAAGGACACAAAGCCCTCACCTGAAGGAAAGGTGTTTACCTGAGCTCTAGATGCCAGTTTGGCTGCTGTTTGGGCTGGGTCAAAGACGCGTCGAGAGGACTGGTCTTTGCAGAAATTAATGTGTCGCTGGGCAGCCATTTCATTAAACCTTCTCATACAATATGGACACTGAATATAATCTGGATAGGAATACACCAAGAAGCCACAATTAACATTTTAAAAACAACTGTGGAATGGAACTATAGGAAGTGAATGACACAGAAGGTAAACCCTGTTCCCACAATGAAGAACAAGTCCCCTAGCCCAGAAAGGGAAGCTTAAACAGAGACACAGCATGGGGGGGGGGGGGAAGTGCTCCCTAGGTACTTACTCCAATTCAGAATATCCCTTTAAAATGTTTGCTTAGCATCTTTTCCTCAGGTAACAGATTAATTCGATTTAGAAACTTCAAAACGACAACTTTTTGTACAAGTGCTAAGGTCATCTAGTTTTTATGGTAAGCGAGTGCATAGTTGACCCAGAAGCAGCCCAGCTTTGCTACTGGTTGAGACAGAAGGTTGTTCAGACTCATTACAGAGAGATACTATTTAGTTTCAAAATGCTCCTTTAGGGGATGAGGTTGGGCTCCGGCATCATAGTGTTGTTAGCAACAGGAATGTCTTTTGCGGTGGCTAGGTTTGTTCTCCTCACTTATGTGAGGAGGCAGATGACTTATTCAAGAAGGGGGCTCATAAAAAGAGGAAGGGGTAAAGGTTGGTAGGAGTCAAGCATTGAAGGCCAAACAAGGGAGATGAGAAAGTAGCTTTAGGTTCCCAGGCAAAAGCCAGGCAGCTTCTGGTGACCCTAGATTGTCTGTGGTTCTGTATAACACCTTGTCAAATTTCCTTTCATGTGCTATTATCAGATACAACTGGCTAGTGAAAGACGTGGGAACCAAGAAAGATCTAAGGTCGTCTTATAGCGTGGAGGTTCCCATAAGCAGAGCTGGGTCTGTGCCTAACCCCTCTGAGCACATAGGGATTAGCATTCGCTTTGTTCTTGACTTAGGCATCTTTAAGGGATATGAGTGACATAAAGATTTTCCTCCCAGCAAGGGTCTGAGCTGCATCAGCCTTCCCAGAAAGGGTCTGAGCTGCATCAGCCTTACACTCAGGGTGGACGTTTACATTATCAAATAGTCCGCATTCCTCCGTGCCCAGCGATGCCTTTAAAGAGAAGCTGTTTTATTTGTTTTAAAAGCCTTATCTTTACGCGGTTTGAAGAGTTTTCTGTTTGAACAAACAACAACCTAAAATGGATACTTCCCAAATGTAAAAATGATCAACGTTTAGGGATGATCTAGTAGCTGTCCCTTCGATTTCCCATTCTAGAAAGCAATTCTAATCATTCATTCAGTGCCTACTGTAGTGCACACATTGCTTTTTAGATGGCGATGCAAGGTCTCTGCAATCAAAAAAAAAAAAAAAAATAGGTATTTGAGTGCAGAACAAAAAATGAAAATTTCACACAGTGATAAACGGCTCAAAAAAAAAAAAAAAAAAAAAACCCACAAAACTGCAAAATGTTAAGAAGTAAAGTAAAGATGAGCTTAGCTCTGGAGCCTGCCTGACTGGTTTTGAGCCCAAGTCCTTTACTTGCTATGTGTATGAACTTGGACGGGTTGCTCAACTTCCACAGGGCTTCCATCCCTTCAGCACGTCTGTATCAGCTATTTCATCAGGGTGTTGTGAAAGTTAATACACCATCCACACAAGAGCCTGGTGCAGTGGGAAGGGTTATAAATGCTGCCCTTGCTGTATGGAACCAGGTTCAGCAAGCCTATGCTTCCAAGTGCTAAACAAGATGGCAAACACTTAGAAACTGCAATGTGCCCAGATCATTCAGAACTCATTCACGGCACTGTGGAAAAACTGCCTAGAAAGGGGCATTCACTGGGGTGGTTATTTCTTGCTTTTTCCAGGTAGGAAGCCAAGCCTTAAAGCAGACACGCTGTTCTATAAATCCTACTAAGGTTGGTCAAAGACGATGGATGACTGGGCACCGCTGAGCTGAGTTCCATTCATCAGTCTATTCATTGCCTTCCTTCTGTGAACCCCTTGCTGCATACCACCACGGAAGCAACAACGTTGGAGTGTATTTCCTTGCCAACTGAAGTCTCTGCGATAATGAGGATACCACACTTTCCAATTGGTAAGGAAGGACTAGGTCCCCCGAGGCCCCCCAGAAAGAAAGAGAACCCTGGGCTTGGGGGAATAGTACAAGAAAGAAAAGGTCCTGTGCTGAGTATTTGGACTTGCTGTTTGCACTTATGTTGAATTTCAAATATTCTGAAAAAGGAAATCCATTCTTTCCCTCTGTAGCAATCATCTGAACATGGTGTGTCATAGACCTATGTTCTATCCTAGTCTCAAACTGAGTAATCTTCATCCTTTATTATTTATGAGCTCACACAAAAGAATCACTATATCCTATTTATTTCTATTGAAAATAATTTCAAAGCATAGAGCACTAGCCCTTACACCCTTACCTTGATAGCAAGTTCAAAAATTAAACTATAAAAGGATTCTTCTGGGAAGGATGGTGGCCAGGTCTCATATAAAATTAAAGTAGAAAAATAAAGAAATCTTTTTAAATGCGGACATTACATTGAGATCCTTATGGAGCCTACAAGATGCTAACCACTGATTCAAGTACCACAGATTGATCTCAATCCTAAATATTATATATCACCCTTCTTATAAAATGTTGCAATGACCTTGAGATTTGAATTATTAGCAGACTTGGTTAATCCAGTAAGAACTAGAATAAATATATACAGGTCCTGAAAACTGAGTCATAAAAATGGGAACTCATGCTGACAAGTAGAAGGAAATTGCTTGCAAACTCATGCATATTAGGTCATATTATATATAAAACTCTCCTTGTATGTGCATATAAATTTTCTGGTACAGGTTAATATAAAATTCCCGTACAAGCAACATAATCAAACTGCAATGAAAACACACTATTGTGAAGCATTGTTAAGTGCATATAGTAAGGAATTTAATTATGAAATTTGTATTTTAGCATAAAACTCTGAAAGGAAGAAAATTAATGGAGCATGTGATGAGACCTGCGAGGGGAATTTTTTTTTTTTTTTTTTGAGAAATAATGATCCTGTCACTTTAGAGCCTACTGGGTAAGGGAAGGAAACCACCAAGCATACCAGACACAAGTTCACATCACCAAATAATTGTAAGGTAGCCATTAGCACTCAGCTTCTCGTGTTCAAATGAAGCTGAACCAAGCCAGTGGCAGCTCTGACTCTGGACTGAGATCTGTCCCCAGTGCTTGAACTGACCTTTTGGGAGCCCATTCCCTGTGGAGGGCTACCTTGCTTAGCCTGGACACAGGGAGTGGAGGGGTGGGGGGGTGAGGGTGGGTGATGGTCCTCTTCAATGATATGGGTGTCTTACCCTCTCCGAGGAGAAGATGGGGGGGGGGACGTGAGGGGAAGGTGGGGGAGTGGGAGGAGGGGGTACTGGGATTGGTATGTAATGAAAATAAAATAATAAAATTCTTAAAATGAAGCTGTTTCTCATAAGAGGCATGCTTTGCTCTGCGCAGATGACTCAGACGCTGAACACTTTCTTTGCAAGTACAATGAACTGAATTCGATTCCCCGGAACCCATATAACAAAGGTTGTGTGTGGTGCCATGGGCCAGTAATGGCAACCCTGCAGGTGTGGACATAGGAGGGTCCCTGGAGCTCACTGGCCATCAGGCTGTCTCAAAGGAGGTAGATGGTGTTCCCCAGTGCAACATCTGAGTTCATTCTCTGGCTTCCTCCCACACCTACATGCATGTCTGTGGGCACACATACATCTTCACACACATGTGAACACTATACACATACAAAGAAATGTTCCGTTTTCTGATTTTTGTTACTAACATGGTAGGCATAAATATTTGCACTAACTCTATTAAGAGGATGTGTTATTTTAAGCTACCTTTTCACTAGTATCGAGCAAAGATAAAGCAATTGTTAAGATTATTTTCTGGTATACTAGTTCAAATGATTTGAGTTTTTGAAAGTATTTGTGGTGGTGCGGTTTTAGACTTTTTCAAGAGACCTTTTTGGAAGAGTAACTTTCAAAATAAAATGCATTTATTTTAAGTTGGAGGTTTTGTGAGTCCTTGACAAATGCATGCATTTGTGTAACTATTCCAATTAAAACACAGGACATTTGCCTGCAAATTTTTCTCATGCCCCATTTCAGACACTATTCTACTGATGTAGCCTCAGTCAAGTCACTGATCTATTTCCCTGTCACAATAGACAAGTTTTACTTGCTCTGTAATTTTGGTAATAGATAACCCATCTTGCTGTGTTTATAGCAGTACTGTTGAGTAGATTTCATTTGTACATATTTCACAGCTTGCTTTCCTTCACAATGGCTGATGGGCATTTTCAGGCATTCCAATTCATGTTATGTAAATAAACGTGACTCTAAGACTATTTTATGGATAGATTCTAAGTTTTTGCATAAATGTATGGAAGTAGGAATCTGTGGTTTCTGGTTCTAGGGCAAATGAATAAGCCATGAAGTGAAACCTTTGTTTTGCTGGGACAATTTGATACTGGTTAATTAGGGTTGAGAATTCAGTTGTGATTAGGAAGAGACCAACATTTTTTGAGGTGAAATGCCCCCAGAAGCATTTCCCCAGGGTTAGCACACAGAAGCTGTGGTCCAGAGGGGTCCAAAGCTGCATCTCGAGCTGGCAGCTGAACTTGGGAATGTGTAAGAATCTCCTACGTGGTAACTGCATGGAAACTGCTGGTTTGAAGGTCACAAGGAGAGAGTCTGGGACTTGGCACTGAGAAGTCAGGAGAGGCCATTGGTGCAGCAGGTACAGCCTCAGTTGCAACAGAGACCCTGATATACTGGAGATGCCAGGGCTGGGAGATGGACCACTAAAGGCATTTGTAGAAGTAGAAGAGACAATCTATACTGCAAAGCCCTCTGTGTGTGTTGTAGATGACAGAGCTAGGCAAGTGGAATGGAATGCTCAAGCCCTTTGGAGCCCAAAAGATCATGAGTGAGTTCCAGATGTGGGGCATTGAATTTCTTACACTGTAAGAGTTTGTTTTTCCTTGATCTGGTTGTAGCTCTGTCCTGGTTCTCCCTGCCTTGGAATT